AACTGAATACTAACTTAACTGGCCAATTTATAAAGCCAATAAATCACTTGAGAAACTTAAAAATAGCATCTGATACATATTTGCCTGCAGTGAAGTGCTTTCACACATTTCAAAAGGCAGCAAAATAGAAAAACAATGCCTCATACTTTTCTCTCTCTCTTTCTTTTCCTAACTTGTTAAAAAGAAAATACAAGCATTTCTTTAAAAGTGAGGTGCATGCATGAGATACCCTTGAAACATTACAGAAGTAGTGAAAAAATGACACACCATCTCTGGGAACTTGTGAAAGCACTCAGAAATGTTGTAAGTGAAGTTGCAGAATGAAAAATCAATGCCCATGATTGTAGAAACTCAGTTTCAAAGACATTAGTTTTGTAAGAAAAGTTTATCACGCAAGGTTAAAGGGTAATATAATGCTTTCCTTGGAGTGTGCAGCTTGTTGAGCATTTGAGTGTATACTGGAATGCAGTACTTCAATGGATCTGCATGGGTGTTTTTAGATAATCGCTGCAATTATTTATGATTGCCAGTATCCTAAGACACCAAATCTTACACACCAACAATCACTTTTCCTCTTTATACAAATCACCCATATATCTCAACTTAAACAATGGCCTGCCAACTATTTCAAATTTTAAAAAGTTTTCAAAGTATGGTAGTTCAACTGATGCAGTAGGCATCTTTAACAACCATGATGAACACACAATTCTAAGAGAATGTACACTAATTTTTCCCTTGCCATTTTGCTTCCAAGTGGGAACAAACTCGCCTCTTGCCAGACCTCACTTTCCCTTTCTCCCATATATCAAGCCTTTGAAAATACTGCCACATTTCCCCCCTCTCTGTATTTAACATGTCCCATTATCTTTGGTCACTCCTTTAATCTTTGCAGATGACTCAGAATATGTGGAATTTTAGAACTACAGAAGGCGGCATGGGGAGGGGGGCACTTGCTACGCAATGGTTACTAAACCCCATATGCATTTTTCAGGAACTGAGAGAGGTGCTTTTCTCTCTATCATATCTTTGAATTGGCAGTCCTTAGTTTCATGTTTCAGCAACTGGACCAGTCATATGGATACAAGCAAGTATTTATTTTCCCCTCTTGCCATGCCTTCATCCATTCTTCCCACATACATTGTGTATGCCAGATCTTTTCAAACTCCTCTTTAAACTCAATAATGAATTGACTTCGTTTTCCTTAAAATGAGATTTGGCCTCAGAATAAATGATTGTTTTGAGACGGTAAGTAACTTCATTCCAGGCGAGTAATGCACATTGTTTTCCATTACTTTTTATCATTAAGAAATTGATCTTGCTGTAAAGAAGGTTTTATGACACCATTTAATCTTTGCCAACCTACTAAAACACAGAATGCAATTACAGACACCTTTTATATAGCAATCTTGGTCACTGTATCAAGAAGAAAAACAGTCTAAGTCAATGTCACATCTGATAGAACAGAAAACCTGAAGGATTTGGCACTGCTCTTATAAGTGATCATCAGCTTCAAAGTTTATATGCACAATTTTGATTCAATTTAACTTGGACGTATGATCCATATCCCACCTGGAAGGCAGTATCCCACAGCTTCTACTCAGTTCACATTTCATCGAGTTACATTCTAAGAAAGCTCCTGATGGTCCACACAACCCTGTGATTGTAGTTAAAATATTTTAGGTCTGGGAGTTTCACTTTTTAAAAAAGATTTGCAGTGGTGAACTAGAAAAGCATTTGCTAGTTTGCAGTTTTCAACTCTCCTTCCTTCCCAATGTAATTGAAATTGCTGTAATTAACTGACCTACTCTACAGCATAATCAATAATTTCAGTTCACACATGCCAATGAATTTCTAAATCCTAGAGGTGTTTATGTCTTCAGCTTTTAGACAAATTAAACAAACCTGCAGTTTAAATGTCATTTATCCAACGCAAGATTAATGCTAAACCGGTACTGTCGGGATTAACAGAAAGAAAGAAAAAGAGATGGCCTGCAATTAAATTGCCACTAACATTCTGCAAGAGCAATCATGTCAAAATCAACAAAGAGCTTGACCTCTACATCCATGATGTTCAGCAACTGCAATACAATTTTAGAAGAATTAAACTGGCAAAGAGCACTAAATTCCCAATCAGTGTCCTCAAGCAACCTTGATAATGCAACCCCTAGATAATGCAGGAGGCAGGGCTGCAAAAAATATCCATGTTCTTAGGTACCATCATCACATATTTAGGCAAGCCAACAACCAGGTGCACAGGATTTTTCCAACTCCGACGATGTAGGTTTACTTATGGCCATATTGATATCCTCCAACTACTGTAATACTGCATATTAACACCTGTAAGTATCTGCCAGCATTAGCAGAGTTATATCAGGTCTTATTTCAAAAGCTTTTATGCTGCTTTTCTATAAAACTGCACAAAGCAGTGTATAATCATTAAACTTTATACACCCATTAAAAGACCACTAACACACTAGAACGCAGTTAATGGTTTTCTTAAAAACTTGGAAATAGAAAAGATCACAATCTGTAAAACTGGGAAATCCTTTAGGGTTAAGTTGCTGAACTGCTAATCTGCAATGGCTAAGAAGGAAACACACAAGTTGCATTCAATTTTTGTAGAAGGAAAAAGAGCAAATCGTGCCTTTATCCTACTAGTAACTCCCAAACTGTGACAGGTGCTGCAGTGCCCTGCAAAGCAGACCAAAATTCAGGATGAAGCAACTTAATTGACTTAAGTACAACCAGTTTGTGTCCCAATGCAAATGATCCTTCAAAGCTAGAATAAATCATTTCCCTTACTATTTGCCTGAAAGTTTGAGGCATGTTTTCTGGCAACAGTTATGCTGCTCCAGCTCTTATGTCTGTGTTTATGCATCATCTCTGAACACAAACACATGACTGAATAATATCTTTGTAGCCACAGCAGAACAACAATGTAACTGAATGAATATATGAAGTCAGAACTGTCAATGCACCATTTGTAAGATCCACTTAGTTTGGACTTTTCCGACACTGTGGTGCTTGATTACTCCCATATATGAGAATTCAAGGGGCATCCCCTCAATACAAAGGCACTCTGCTGAAAGGCAGTTCACCCTAACCCAGGGGACCTATTCAGTTTCCAAACAGAGAGGGACTGATGAAAAGCTGTCAAAGTAAATCTATGCTCACTTTTTGGATGGTTTAACGTCAATGGAGCATGCAAACACCCCAACATGGCTCATAAATTCAGCCAGGCGTGCTGCTCTCCCTAATATATTTTAATTATGCATCTGTTTTAATTGTAATCAGAGTAAGTCACCGGAAAAGGCGCAAATTGAAATTTTCTCTAATTGCTAATACAGCTTCTCAGCAGTGCCTAAGCACTTGTCCATTTTAAGGGGAGGGAGAAGCACCCAGAACAACTGTGACATTTTCTAGAACTCGATGCAGTTTTCTTCAACCACACGGTTCACTTCTCATTAGCTGTCCAAACTCTAAAGAGCCAAATTCAAGTCCTGGGGGGCTTCATCTTTGCTAATTAGCATAAAGGAATGTTGAACATACAGGCTGGGGAGCAGAACAGAAGAGCTTTCAGGAAGAAAAGCTGCTCAGCGGATCTTCAGAGGGCAAATGCGCACACGAACACAAACATGCTAACATAGCCAAACTGATGATTTTCAAGTAAGCACTGCCCCTGTGAGCAAACTTAAAGCAGAGGTTCCTATTCCAAGGCTCAGTTTCAGGCAGGGATCAATGCACTTTAGCTCCAGAACAAGCATTTTCAATGACAGGGCAACTTCTATGCAACAACAGCATGTGCAGAGCACCTTCCCCTTCAACACTCATTAACTACAAAGAAACTTGGGCACATCTGTGGGCTTTAAAGGGAAGGGGTTCCTAGTTAGAAAGCCCAGTTTCCATTCAGGCTGCAGCTTGGACACTTCTCCCTTTAAAAATTCAGAGCATCCCTGTCCCTTTAATACACTTACAAGCGCAAGGGAGTTTAAGTGTCAAATGCTCTGGAAACAAGAGCATCAAGAGAAACAAGTTGAATCCATCCCCCTTCATAAAGCAATGGCTTTGTGGATGAAAGGGGGAAAGGGTTTGTTTCTAACCCAAACTTAACACCATTAAATGATCAAACTGGTTGGCAGGGCGCGGGTAGATGGAGAATGTTTTCCTTTTAGAAAATCACATGTGTGTGTATGGAATTATTCCCAAAAAAACAAAGATTTCCCTTCCCCCAAAACTTCCAGAAAGGGTGATCTTGGCAAAGGCATAATGAGAGAAAGAATGAAGAGATTTAATATGGAAGGAGTTTGCCTGCACTCCTCGCCTGCTCAGCTGTACCAGGGGACCTATGTTCCCCGACCCCTTCCAGCAACCTAACTTGACAGCCAGCCCTGCAAACTGCGTCTCTCCACTAGGGTGGGCAGATGGTAGATCGGGATCTACCGGCACATCGCTGCTAACCAGGAGTGGAACGGATTGCAAGTTCAGCTCAGGTACCCGGGAACAAATCCGTAGCCGGAGAATGTCCTCAAAGGCACCCAAGCGCCTCCATTCTAACTGCGTGCCTTTTGTTGTTGCTGTTGCACCTGCCTCTGATTGGTAGATTCGAGCGCAAAGCAAAGTCGATCAGGGAAACCCTGAACTCTCTTCACACCCCTCCTGAGCCGAAATTACCCAAGGGAAAGGCAGGCGCGCGCGAGAGAGAACGCGCAAAGGAAGAAAAGGTGCGATGAAATCCGTAAAGCGTTAAGCCGGGGAGAGATAATCGGATTAACCCTTCTTCCGCAGGTGAGAGCGCGGATTAGAGGAGGAGGCGGCAGTCCGGGCAAGGAAAGTGAGGACGCCAAGTTGTGCGTTGTGTTTTCGCAGCCTCGCACCAAACCCCACCGCGCAGAGAGCGCGCTCCCTTTGGAGCTGCCGGCGAGCGCAACCGAGCCGGACGCGCCCCCCGAGCAGCCAGCCCCGAGTCCGCCTCTTCTTCTTCCTCCTCCGCCACCACCTACCTGTCATCGTAGCAGAAATCCGCGCCGAGGGTGTTGAGATAGAGGGCGAGCCCCAGGGCGCTGCTCACCAACTCCGCGATCATCTCTCCGCCGCCGCCGCCCTCCGTCTTCTCCCCCTTCGCCGCCGCCGCCTCCCGCCGGCCGCGCAAAGCATCCGCCGCGCGCGCTTTCCCTGGCGCCCGCTGCTCCGCTGCCTCGCTCCACTTTCGCCGCCGCCGCCGCCGAGTGCGCCGCTCGGTCCGCTCAGCGAGCGCCCGGCATCCCCCGCTTGCTCTCGCTCGCCCAGTCAGTCAGCGCTGCCGCTGCCGCCGCCGCCTCGCCGCTTTTATTGTTCCACGCCGCTCGCTCCCCCTTTTTACCCCATGACTGGCCGGGGCTGGGCAACCGCCGGAGAGCAAAGCTGGCCGCTCCGCCCCTGCGCGAAAGAGAGAGAGCGAGTGCGCTGCCCGCCCGCCCGGCTCCGCTCTTCTTCGCCGGCTCCTCCGCGCGCCTCGCCGCCCCGAGGCCCCTTCGCGGCTCAACTGGAAGCGCCGCTGCCGAGGCTCTGAGAGCGCCCGCGTGGGGCTCGGCGAGGCTCCCATCGCGCTTGCGTGCCGCCCCGCCCTCCTCGCGCTCGGACCGCCTCCGCCCCCGCCCCTCGGCCTCCCCCGGACCGCTCCCCTCCCTTTTCCCCTCCCTCCCTCCCCGCGCGGGCGGGCGCGCGCGCTCCGTTAGCTGAGGGGCTGTCGCTCCTGCCCCGCCCACTCCCTCCCCACCTCCTTCCCCCCCCCTTAGTTTCACGCTGGAAGCGGGGGGAGGCAAATAGGTTGCTGCTAAAGGGGAGCCCAGGGTGGAGAGGAGGGGCGAGGCTGGCTGGCTGGCTGCGTCCGCGACTGGCACAGACTGCCCACCTCTCCCCGCCCGTTCCGGAGCAAGCCAGGTGGAAACTCGTCTCGCCACAGCGAGGAAGGATGCTGCCGAGGCATCTGTGGGGGTGGCAACCTGGCAGGGCATCGCATTGTTCTGCCCTGGCTGCTGTGTCGCACCTCTCTGGCCGGGCTGTGTTTCTTAAAAGTGTCCTGAAGTGCAAGCTGGTTTGTTGGGGAGGGGGCTTGGATGCAGAAGTGGGGAAATACCTCCCAAACAATAATGGTGGGGTTTTTTTTATTTTAAAAGGCCGCAACGATCCACTATTATTTATTGAAAAGATTGTTTTTATTGCTTTCTTTTCAACTTTGCAAACCGTCCATTTCTTCGAGTTGGGTCTTTCTGAGAAAGGCATCTGAAATCCTTTACTGTAGTTCTCGCCCTCATCCTTACCCTTGATCAATTTATGTGCTGCTTAGTGCTAAATAGGATTCTAAGTGGATTGCAGATATATAAAGCAATCAGAGAAGCATTACAATATAAACATCTGTAATTAAAACAAGCAATAAAACAATCGCATTCATTGCTGCATGACAATAATGCTGTAATGTCAATAGGATAAGTTATGACACCAATGCAATACGTGTTGTCAATTGCAGGGAGAGGGGACATAAAACAAGAAAAACCTTTTTTTTAATAAAGCACTGTAAAACAAAAATGCAGACTAAAGGCAAATACAACCCCTGGGCAAACAGGAACATCTTAACCTAGACCCTGAGTCTGTTTTTGTGTGTCTAGAATGAAAACTACCGTACATATTTGGCATACATGATTGGGGGTTTCCAGAAGGTGTAAAAACAACATATTAATCCTTTAGTCAGTGTCAGGTTATTGTGCTGCTAATATTTTAAAGAGCTTGATCTCCCCAATGTGGGAAGTGTCCTCCCGGCAGGTATACAAATATAAAAAATAAAAATAATAAAATAATTTCTGCCCCCACCTTTCTTCCATGTTTTATGCCAGTCATCTGCAATGAAAGTGTTTCTTCAAGTGGCACAGCAAGCGGTGCAGCAATTCGCAAGAGCACTACATGCCCAGCTGCAGGATGAGAAACCCTTTTAACCATCAAACCCTCCTCCCATTATTATTTAACACAATCCTCTCCAGACAAGCCAGGCATTAAGCACATTTGGGCCTTTTCCCTGGCAGCGCTTAAAGTGCTCTTGTGAAGCCTGTCTTTGAATGTCACCATTTCCCCCCCTGCTGATCTCAGTTAGTTCCAATGGCTTCAATGTGTCATCACCAATCCTTGTAATTTCGGAACTGGGGGCGTGATGCATTATGTGTGAAATATTAAAGCACTGAAAGAGCCCTTAGTCAACCTTCAATGGAGTGTGCTGATTTCTAGGAAGCCACTGTGTGCTGAATCTATACAGCCTTCCACTTGGAGGATATTAATTTAGGTCGGCGTCATCTAGCTTTAGGTTTGAAGCTAAAGGAAACTTTTTCAGCCTGAGGGCCACATTTGCTTCTTGGCAACCTCTCAGGGGCCACCTGCCAATGGTAATCAGGGCTATGAGCCAATGTTAATGTACATACCTCACTCTGTCCTCCAACCAAACAAGGAAGAATAATAACCAGAGTTCAAGGATATGTTTTATCCAGGCAAAAACTCAGAGGGTACAAAACAGGGCTGGAGAGGAATGTGGTCTGGAGAAAGGTATCGCCAGGGAAGTGAGATGGGCTAGGAAGAGTTCTGAGGGCCAGGTAGAAACTTCTGAGGGCCATCCCTGTTTTACGCCTTTTCCTCTCTGCTCTGCACAGCTAAAAAGAAAACCAGATTTTCCCCGTCCACAAATCAACTATGAATATAATTTGTGTTTATTGACTGATTTCAAGCACATGCTCGTCCCTTTTCTGTAGAGTTTTCGAGGTGCTTCACAAGAGATAAAATTACAGCAGCAAAAAAACATACAAATCAATTGCAATTACACGCCACAAAGTTGCAAATGATTGAAATGAAAGCATTCGTTGTGCAAATCTTGTATTAGGATGGTTGGGATAACACGTCTGTCTGAAGACACGCAAGACTTTTAGTGACACTCGAAGGTCACTCCCACTCTCTTTCATTCTGGTGTTCAATCAACTGAACTTTGGCTTGTGTTTGTGCTTACACAATGGCGTGACACAGCGAGCCACTGCTTTCTTTTGCGCTGCTTGCCCTCACTTTGTAATTTGTTCCTTTAAAATTTCTGCACCTATAAGTTCAGTGTGTGTGTGTGTGTGTATCCATGTATCTGACAACATGTGCTCTGGCCACGTAGATTTATGCCACAATCTAGGTGTTAGCTTTGAAGGTGCCGCAAGATTCTGTTGTTTTGGATGGAATGGATTGACACAGCTACGCTAATGAATCATTTACCATAGTCAGGTGTCCAAACCTTATTTTGAAAACATAGTCATAACTTCTAAGCAACAACAACCGGAGGAAGCATCATCTAGCTTACGCCAGCTATAAATTAGATTTTGCCATTAAACAACAAGGAACCTGATACCCGCCCCCCCAAAAAAAAATGTTTTAGAGGGCAAACCTCCATATTGATCTGCTTTACATGCATGCATTTGTTGTAACATTGGTGCAGCCCTCAAGATGCCATTGGACTCCAATTCTAACCAATCCTCACAAACATGACCAATGATCAGGATGAGGAGACATGCAGTCCACAGGTTTCAGCTATTTAAATTTATCAAAGACAATATCCAGCTGTCTTCGCCAACCTGGTACCCCCCCCCCCCGATGCTTTGGACTACAACTCCCATTGGCTACAACCAGCATGGCCAACAGTCAGAGATAATGGGAGCTGAAGTTCAGCACATTTGAAGAGCCTTTCACATTTGGGCTGGCTTAACCCAGTGGCTATTGTATGAACATTTTGTGTCATACCACCACCCCACACCAAGTTTCTCCTTTGTGCTAATAATAACATTGACTTTGTCATTAACATGGCATTAAGGCAAGGTTTTCACTGCAGTCGATAGTTTCTGAGAAATGGCAATGTATGAAAGTATAAAGCAGGATTCAACACAGCTGAATTTCTGTCGGGTTTTAAATCTGCAGCACATCAGGTGAAATAGGTCTGCTTCACCTGCTGTTCCAGAGTTTCTCTGACCAGCAGAGGAAATAATTCCATATGACACAGAGAACAGTATATATTCAAGAGAGTAAAGGCTTGAGAAAGGGTACCCCTTTTTTCATTTAGCTGGTTAAAATAGATGAATGGCATGCTATGCGCTAAATTGTGAAATACTTTAGCAGATCTTCCAAAGATGGCAAGTTCCTCAGTAGGCTGAGTGTTTGACATGTGCGATAATTACCAAGTATAAGGCGAGGTAATTTAGGAGTTCACATATAGCACCAAGTAGTCATTTTCAAAATAACTTTTCATTCTGTGAAATGAACATTGTCACAGTCTCTCAGAGGAAGGGAAGAGTGGGAAGGTTGTAACAACACATACTAATAACAGTAATTGTGGAGATGAGATGAGCCGCATAACCTAAAAGCTATTCAAGAGGTGCTGAAATTGTGTCTAATTTGCTATTTCAAAGGCGCATCTGCATGTGGTGTTGTGAAAGTCCCTATTCACATTGGACAAACAGATGCAGCATAGGAGCAAAATATCCATTCACCTAATAAAATACACAACGCCACATTTAGAGGATAACAGTTGTGGTACCACAGTAGCAGCAGTGCTGTCAGGGGAGGACTTGGGGGGGAGTCCAGAGTCCCACTCAGCAGAAAGGGTTCCCAAATGAAGCAATGTTGTCTTATCACTTTTTCAAGTGAAGCTTTGCACACTGCCATCTAAAGAGGGTGCCTCCCATAAGACAAAGTCCAGAAGTCTAAAATTACTACTGTACAGTGCAAACAATTTATAGTACAGGCCTTTCCAAAGTCCGTTTCGGCAGCCTAATCCGGCCTGCCAGTCAGTTTAATATCAGGCCCCTGTGGCAGTTTATTTCCTGGAGTAAAATCCTAAAAAAAACACTCCAACCCTAAGAAAAGCTCAACAAAAAAAAAGGTCGACAACTTTGGTCAGCCCCCACAGCCCTTCACATCATCAAATCTGTCTGTCTTTGAAAAAGGTTTGGACACCACTGTTATACAGTGGACACTCGGGTTGCGAACCTGATCCGTGCAGGAGGCACATTCTCAACCTGCAGTGTTCGCAACCCGCAGCACCGTGTCTGTGCACGCTTAGGTTGCAATTCACTGCTTCTGAGCATGCGCAAAGTGCCGAAACCCAGAAG